GATGGGTGCTGAAGGGTGTGAGGAGCTGCCACCTCCTCCAGCTGCTCCAGCCCAGGACCCTCCTGCCTGGCTGCCTCAGCCTGCCTAGCCCCCTGCCCACATCCCAGTCCTCTCACCCCCAACCACAGCCCCCTGCACACCAGATGGTCCAGCTTAAATTTTGCCAGTGAATGACACCCCACCCCTGCCACGGACACCCGGTTTGGGACGATACAGCCACTCACTCCCCCCGCAGCCGGCACTGGGACCCTCACCCGCTCCAGTAGCTGACACCACAGGCCAGGTGCCCACAGCCCTGGTCCGACTGCAGCTGCCGCCCCCAAACCCGCTCACACCCATCTCTCCAGCAGCCAGCACCTCGTCCTTGCAGCCCACATCCCACAGGCGACCCGAGATTAATGGAGAAACAGTTAAGAAGGGATTTCGGACAAGACAGAAGACAGATCGGGCACAGGGCTCAGCGTGGTGGTTGCACTGGGCCAGCACTTGGCTGCAGCTGAACCCAGCCGCTCGCTCAGTCTCCCCACCCCTCCAGGGGACAGGGGAGGGAACTGGGGGGCAAGGGTAAGGAGACTCGGAGGGTGAGAGAAGAACAATTTAATAATTGAAATAAAAGAAAACTTAAAATAATAATGCTATTAAAATAAGAATGATTATAATAATAGTAATAAAATATGCAAATGAGTGATACCCAGTGCCATTGCTCACCACCCGCCGACCAAGTCCAGCCTGTGCTCAGAGAACGATCCCGGAGGAGCGACAATCCTGAACTGAAACTGCAATCCCGGGAGAGCGAGAGCCCGAGTGAAAGCCAGAGAGAGAAAAAAACCCCACAAGAGAGCCCCTCATTAATACACTGAACACAACAGAATATGATGTGGAACATCCCACTGGCAGAGCCAAACGCAGTCTATGTTATTAATTTAATACTCCTCGTCCCTCCTAGACCTTGCACCTGCAGACCAGCAAAACACAGAAGTCCTTTGACTTCCAACAACAATTGAAAACACTGATAAGTTATCAATGTTCTCATACCAAACCCCAGCTGAAACCAAACCCCAGCACTGCTCTAGCTACTAAGAAAACTAGTTCTGTCCCAGTCAAACCAGGACACTCAAGCAGACAACACACCAACTGGCCCCATTTTACACATGACCCTTTTCTACCCCTTTTCTGCCTGCCCTCCCTCCCTCCCTCCTTTCCTCCCTCCTCTTCCACTTGCAGAGTCCCACTGACTCCCCCCAACATCCTGGATCCTCAAAGTTACACCCTGACCAGCTGCCAAGTCCCAGTTCCCTGCAGCTTCTTGAGGGCCCACCAGTTAGTGGGATTGAAAAGGTTTGGCTGCCTCCCTTGCCATATCCTCCAAGCTGAAAAAATGAACGTTCTCTTGCTCCTCATCCCCTTCCCAAGGAGTGCCACCGACCAGGACTGTCCTCATCCCCTTCCCAAGGAGTGCCACCGACCAGGACTGTCCTCATCCCCTTCCCAAGGAGTGCCACCGACCAGGACTGTCCTCATCCCCTTCCCAAGGAGTGCCACCGACCAGGACTGTCCTCATCCCCTTCCCAAGGAGTGCAGCCGCCCAGGCCGTTCCTCATCCCCTTCCCAAGGAGTGCCACCGACCAGGACTGTCCTCATCCCCTTCCCAAGGAGTGCCACCGACCAGGACTGTCCTCATCCCCTTCCCAAGGAGTGCCACCGACCAGGACTGTCCTCATCAACTCCCTTGCCCCGTGACAGTGAGGATCTAGTCAGGGACTTGTCAGTGTTGGGTTCATGATTGGACTCTGTGATCTTAAAGGACTTTTCCAATCCAGCCAATTCTGGGATGACTTCACTTTTCCTTTTCCCCCCACGCAGTAGTTGGGGCAGCACCTAAAGCCAACCTGGCTGTCGTAAGGAGGCTGCAGGCAGAGCCCTGCCTGCTCGACAGCCCAGGGGCTGCAGTGTCACCGCAAGGCATGAGGAGAGGCCGGATCCTGCGTCTTGGCACAACCTCTGTGAACTTCCCCCTCCACTCCTGGCCCCGTGCTCCCCTGCAGCTGAGCTGGCTCCACAGCAGTTACCATTCACACTGCACCTGAGTAAACAGAAATTAAGAAACCATCTCCTCAAGCTGGAAGATCTGCACTTCCACAAAGCAGCATTTACCCTTTAGAAATACACTGGGCTGTTTCTAACTGTGCAGTAAGACTGTTTTTAATAAAGTTCACACGCTGCAATTCCTTAAAAGAATAGTAAAACCATTGTTTATAAATTTATTCTTAGTCTAGAGAGGCTCAGATTAACATGTTTGAGAAAAAGAAACATTAAGTATTAATTTTTGCTTAAACATAAGCAAAAGATATTTCCCAAGTATAAAGTGCACCTTTTGTAACAGATTCAAAACAAACTCCAGCAACAACAACAAAATTACATTATTCTGAACAACACTTGATTCTATGCAGATCAGGGAGACAGATGCCTTCACTCTCTGGTGTTGTTTCCTGAAACATAGTAAGTTCTTTAAAAGCTTTTTAACCTTCCAACAGTTACCTGGTACACCTGCAGATCTGAAATACTGGTAGGGATGTGAAGAGCAGAGGTTGCACCGCGTCACCTTTAGACACACAAGCACAGGTACAAAGCAGCAGAACGCAAACTGCCATCGGGTTATTTCAGCAAATGAAATCTGAGTCGGGACGTGAACACTCATTCTCCTCCCCTCTGCCTGACAGCTATCAGTACCCGTAATAAAAAGGGCAAAGGAAACGTAATCAGCCGTGAAGAGAATCACGCAGTTCTCAGTGACCTCCCACCCTGTTAGTTTTCAGAAACTCACCTGGTTACCCCCGCCTGCTGTCAGAACTGAACACTCAACTTTTCTTTCCCCATTTAAGATACGAAAATCCAAAGCTCCTTCCAATTTCTGAGCATTACCGAACCTTTTGCTTTGTATTGTTAGTTTTGCGGGCGGGCTTTTTCAAGCTTTTAGGTTTTATTTCATGAAAGCAGCTTTCCTCTTAGACCTGAGTAAAAGATGAGAGGAAAAAGGACTTCCTCGTTCACTTTTTCAACTGGACAGACATTTAGCAGCGCTCACATCAGTACTGCCAGCGAGGGAAAAATGTGAGAACCTCTATAGTTCTGCAAGGGAAAGAAAAATTACCCAGGAACAGTAGAGCTCCAGGAGAAAGAGGGAAGGGATAGGAGAAGGGAGGAACTCCTGAAGAGCCTGTCTACCCGGTACAGTGTAACGCAGAAACAAGGTGCACTCGGTGCCAGGCAGAGCAGAGCCAGTGCAGCTGCTGCAGGGAACCCTGCACACGAGCACTCGGGAGCTCTGCTGCCTTCCTGCAAGCGCTCCAACAACCGACGCTTTGAGCAGTTCAGTGTAACAGTAAAAATATAACATTCGATGTATCAAAAATACAATATAAAACAATAAAAGGCTGCATGTCACTGCCATGCATTGTTACATCAATAAAAATTGTGGTCATGCTTATAGCAAGAGGCCTGCATCTTCATCAACTTTTTGAATACCAAAGTCATCTTTGGTAATAACCAAAAAAGATTCCCCTCTCCTCTCCTTTTATTTTTTAAAATTAAATTTGCTTTGCTATTCTTGAAGAGGCCATTTATGGTTATTTCAGAGTTCTATTACCTCACCATATTTTCAGAAGCACGCTTACTTCCCTCTTCCTCAGGTACTGGGAAAAAACCAAAAAACCACAAATAAACCAAAAAAAACCTGAGCTGGAAGTTTTTCTGCTAGCTTGTGCAGATCACAATCATCTTAACAAGAGATCTGGACTAGAAGGAACAGTAACGTGTCTTCAGCACTTCTTGTAATAATGATGAATTTGCAATTTTCAAAGTTACTCTTGCTACACAGTGCCAATACATTCAAAAATAAAAGAGACTTGAGTTTGCTGTCATAGGTTGTTAATTTTTTTAAAAGTTCATTTGGAATATGCACTTTGTTTAAGTACCTATATTAAAACATACTGTATTATAAAATGCATTTCTGCATTGTTCTATAAATTTTTACAGTCCATCCAACCAGCTTTTTAAAAGAGTTGCTGCTCAGGTTTGCTCATCTTCTGAAGGACCAGACTGAACAGTGCCAAGAGGAAAAGCGTTACTGATCAAAAGGAAGCCTCTGTCTGCAGCTGGGTTCTGAAGCTGTCCAGTGTTCATCATCTCTCATGTTATTCCAGCTTTTCTTCATCGGAGTGAGATGAGGGGCAACCACATCACTATCCTATTATTAAAAGTCAGAAAACATTAATGATTGTACATTCACTTTGCTTGCTATCCTAAAGCAGGGAAAAAGCAGCTCAGTATCAGACTTCATAGGAAAAAAATAAATGCAGTCCTAGAAGAATTGTAAAGCAATGAACATGAAGATTGTGCACCCCAGAGATGGAAACTGCCGTAGTCAGGGGTAGCACCTGGTGGTGAGAAAAAAAAATCCCCCACGTATCTGAGAAGCCTGCAGCACCGGCAGTTCACCTCTTCCTAAATTACTACCACCAAACCAAGGAAGATCAGCAGGTTTGTATTTTGGCATTGGTATCTGAACCAGAAACATTATTACAAGTGTTTCCTCTGAATCTGCCACAGTATCTCATTGAAAACTGCTGCAGAGTGCCAGGTGTAGGTGCCTGGAGGTGCCTCTCACTGTGTTCAGGTACATAATGTCGTTATCACAACTGGGACGGTCCGAGGCAGCAGCGCTTGTCCTCGTCAGGTACAGCTGTTAATCCAGTGCTCGGGCACCACAAACACAGACAAGAGAGCAATAAGCTCTCTAAGCTTAGAAACAGAGAAAGGAAGGCTGAGGGGAGACCTTCTGGCTCTGTCCAACTCCCTGAAAGGAGGGTGGAGAGAGGTGGGGGTGGGTCTGTTCAACCAAGGACCAAGAGACAGGACAAGAGGAAATGGCCTCCAGTTGTGCCCAGGGCAGTTGAGATGGGATGTGAGGAAGAATTTCTTTGCTGAAAGGGTTCTGAGGCATTGGAAGGGGTTGCCCAGGGCAGTGGTGGAGTCTCCATCCCTGGAGGGATTGAAGAGTCGTGTAGACACAGTGCTGAGGGACATGGGTTAGTCGGGGACTTGTCAGTGTTGGGTTCATGATTGGAGTCGATGAGCTTAAAGGGCTTTTCTAATCCGGGCAATTCTGGGATTCTGTGAAATAAGCTGGTGAGACACATGCTGCTACATTCTGCAATGTGCCAGGGCCTGCAAGATGGATATGCCTGAACTAGGAGAACACACGTATAGGACACAGCGGTACTCTACAAGCTGCAAGCAGAGAAAGCTTGTTGCCTGATCCATTTGTAAAAGCCCTTCTGAAATCAACTGCTCTCAAAAGATAGATGCCAGAAGTATGACATAAGAACAAGCCCTAAAACAAACTGTTTGTGCCTATAGCTGTAGCTCCAGCACATAAGAACACTCATCTACTGGGTGGTCTTTCATTTCTGAGGATGTAGCTCTTTCCCCAAATGAGACTTTGGGTGTCTCAAGCAAATAAGATGCAAAGTCAGGGATATCAACACACTTGATGAGAAGGATGGTTCACAGAACAAACTGTTCACACGGCATTTCTTCAGTAAGTTGGAAATTTTAATATAAGTCTTTATTTTAGTTTGAGGCTTGATCCCAGGTAGTGGAAAATACCTGAAAAAGCACATGGAATTGAAGAATCTTTCCCTGGTATGACTATCAGACAAAGAGAACCAGCCATTAGGGGGGAAATGTGACAGCAGATTTGCCAGCACACCTATTCAACCTACTGACACTTACAGCCTAGAAATTTCACAGCTCACGCAGGGAGCTGAGTGGCTCCGTTAGCATTTTCTACTGAGAAAAACTTGACACAACCACAACTGCTTCCCTACAACGATGGATATACTGGAAGTATCAGCACAGAGTAATTTTTTTAGATGAAGGTGCCCACCTTCCTGCAAGGGGACGTGATGGGGATGTTTTATCACACATCACCAGTGTACAGCCACAATTGTTACAGGCTCCTCCACTGCTTCTGACAGGAGGAATGCAAAACAAGGCACCCAGACTCAGGTTCTCCTTTAGAGTCTCCATTTTACTTGCCAGGGCAGCTCTGATGCTGTTTCCAACACAAATCAAAACATCAAATGAGCTGTAACACATCCTCTTCCTTCCTCACCTCTGGAAACTTGTATGTTCTCAGAGTCAATAGGAAAGGGAAATGCAGAGAACAGACAAAGCCTCCAAGCACTCAGGCTACAGACTAGAGAGCAGGGATTTGCAATCCTGTTCCCACAGATATTTTCCACTGTAACCCAGAGGAAATGGACTGATAATGAATCTCCTGAGGGAGGAGTGAGTTTCACAGCTGGTGAATAGGGAAGGAAAGGAGGGAAAGCAATAGAACTGATCTGACCTCTACCCTAGATGTTTTCATCTCCCAGTGCTGTTTTAAGCCTTTGTATGACGAAACCTGCACCAATGAACTAGTGAGTGCCTGTGTGGGTACTAACTTTGTTATAAAAACATGACTTTTCAAATGACATAAGTTAAATCAATGCAAATCCATCACTATTCAGTGAAACCAAAGCACATCCAGATGCGAGGCACAATAAAACCAGAAGCTAAGTTAGTGAGGAGTGGCTCTGCCACAAAGACAAGGACTAAATGTTTTTTAATGAAAGAACAAGTTTATGGACAAAGGTGAAGAGCTCTAAGAACAGGAAAATTAGCATGAGAATTTGTTACCTGTGGTTTGGTGAAATCATTCTCTATACACCACTGAACAAAATACTGTTTTGCAGCTGAAACAATATCTGGATCCTGACTTTTGCAATAAACCCGGATAACCTGCTCTGCAAACGTCATGGGTAAAAGCTTTGAAACCTTTGGAATAAAGAAGAAATAGGCTTTAGTATTTATTGGAATTTAGAGTCCACTGAACTTCAATTTATTCATCTGAATATAAATGGAAAGCAGTAAAAAAATCCCACTACAATCCATGAGCTTTATCCGAATCAATTGTGTTTTTCTAAGACTCCCCACATATTCAAGTAAACACTGTTCAGATGCCAAGGCTGTCAGGACTCCAGACTGCCACAGCACAACACACACTGAAGACCTTCAAGGACATAGATTCCACAATATCTCCACAACTCTCTTCCACAATTACTGCAAGAACTACCAGGAAGGAAGGACTGTAATCACTCCCATCGCAAGCTGTGAAGTAGATGCCCCTCACAAGCCAGTTGAGGAAAATGAAAGACTACCTGTTCCTTACTGATCTTGACTGCCTTGGAAGGATCAGCCTTGCAATAGAAGAGAACATTATCAATGGGATTCTGTTCTTTCATTCCATAATCCATATTGATAACCTTGCATGCAAAACAAAAAAACCCACATTTGTTAATGTTTATCTTTAGTTTTCTCTCAATAAATACAAAAGGATACATGCTATACTTCTGTCAGTGACACTATTCAACAAGAACAGTAATTAACAAATGATTATTTAATAAAACAATCTGGTATTTGCATTTTCTATCTTTTCTTCCATGACCTTTTGATCTGAAGCTGCCAGGTAAATATTCACCTTTACACCAACCACTTCCCAGTCGTGTGTTTTTCAGCCACACTCCAGTTTCAAACACTGGAAACACGCTGGTCTCTCACCAGCTGGTGCCTCCCTGAAACACACAACCTACAGAGACAGCAACAGAGCTCACAATTTTAAATGTGAGGTCGAGACGTTATTTACATCTTCTTGGAACATCAACAGTTTTTATGGTCAGTAGGGAGGAACTCACTCACTTCCCCATGACTTCAATTTGTAGGATAAAGCACGGTCAACTACTTTAAAGGTAAGTCAACTGCTATGATTTTACCCAGCCTGAAGTGAATCTTCAACACGAGGGAGTTTGAAAGTGATTTGTGGTGCACTCTGTGGAAACCCGTTCCTTAGCTCTTCCCAGAATTAACCACGAACAGGGATTAAGCTATTTGATACTTGCAGACTGCACAAGCTCTCTCCTCTGTCTCAGGCTCTCTCCTTCCCACCAGTGCTGGCTGGAGACTGAGCTGTGGCAGCAAGGTGCTGTAGGCAGGAGTGACAGCCACGCATCAGACGTGCAATACCAGGAGCCTGGCAGTCACTGTGCCTGTTATTCTCCCTCCACAGCCTGCACTTAACCTGCCTTCATAACCTGCAGCAGTGGTTCCTGGGCTGCTGACTTTAACATCCATATGCTAAAACCCAAAGGTTTCCCTCCTGCCCCTTTTCAGAGTGAGGGCAGTCAGGGGAGAACACATTTGTCACTGGGGACAGAAGTGCCCAAACAACAGCCCAGTGAAGCTGCGTGAAGCCTCTGCCCCCAGGCCCTCCCAGCCACAGCAAACCTCCCAAGGGGGAAGCCCGTTGCCCTCAGAGCCTTGAGCTGAACAGCCAGGACAGCATTTAAGAGGCAACTCTGTGGTTTTGGTTTTTTTGCTTTGCAAATGTAAAAACCATTTTCACTTTGGAAACGTTATCTCCAGTTTTCAGTACGGTATAGCAGACCCTCTGTGATGGAGAAGCTTTCACTCTGAACCTGCTCCAAGAGATATTTACATCAATTATGAAATCTTCAGCCTTTAGCTCCACATCTGGAGGATCCTTTTCTGGCTTGGATTTAGCAATGCTTTCTGCCAGGCTATTATTCTGGAAAAAAAGAAAAAAACAAAACAAAACAAACAAAAAAGAGACAGTAACTCAGATTACATTTATTATGTACTATCAGGTCTAGACCAGGGCAACAAAATGCATGACAGAATGCATCACTGAAGCTTTCATTCCTTCACAGCCTGACAGACTCTTCTTGCTGCAGTCTGTTTCTTTGAATCCTTGTACACCTTAGCCATAAGTTTTCTATTAATTTTTAGAAACAAAACAAGCTTATATAATTGAGAAGACCCAAATACTGCCAGTCTGTGGGGGAAGTTTTACATCTGATGACAGGAAGAAAAAAGGAGGGGGAGAGGGGCAAAGAGGGAATCCATCCAGGATGTTGAAGTCTCCATGAAAGCAGAAAATAAGAACCTTCAAGTAACTGTTTTACCAATAGAAACGTTCTGCAATTAAGTTCCCCAAAGCTGAGTACTAAACATTTTTACTGAACTTTTTTTTTTTTAAATGAAGGACTGGAGTATCTCACCCTCTAATAAAGCTTTCATATCTATACATTGAAACATATAAAAATGCCCAAGAGACAGACAAGATCAGTAATGTAACCGGTTACTATAAAAGACCCAGAAGCAGCAGCCCCTGGGTAAACTGTGGAGGGGATGGTGACCTACTTCAAAAGCTGAAACCCACAAGAGGTTGGTCTGGCTCTGGACCCAGGAGAAGATCCCTGCTGCCAGCCAGACTAAGGCCAGGCAGAGAGCACGGTGTGATGGAGAGCAGTTGTTTGTGGCAATGTGGAAGTTCTCATTAAAAGGCTGTGGCTGGGCAGGAGAGAGAAGGTTGTCTGTTTATCTTTGTCCAGGTCTGCTATGTTCTGGGGAAGATGCAAGATTTGCTGAAGCAAGATTTCCTGGCAGCAACTGAGACTCCTAGGAGAAAGGCTTTGAGTGCAGCACACAGCAGCCAGGAGACAGGTCCAGAAGAGAAGGAATTCAACTAGCAGCATTTTTTTTTTCTGCTGATTTGCCCATTGCATGATGGGGAGACTGCTAAAAAGAGCAGGGAATAACACGCACTGCCAAGCTGAAGCATGTGTGTGGTTTGTTGTGACTCAAGAAGCCAGTGGAAGGTTTAGACTGAGAGCAAACCTAGAGGAAACAATTGCCAGGAGGCAACTGGCAAGAGGCAGCCCGTTTATAAGCTATTCTATTTCTATTCTGTATCAGAATGTAGGTATGCTAACTAACTTTCTCCTTTTTTTGTTGTTGTTGTCTGCTTGGTTATGGGTTTTTTTGGTTTGTTTTTTTGTTGGGTTTTGGTAGGTTTATTGGTTAACCTAAATAAGTTAACTTAAATAAATTAACTCTTCCAGTTTGCATTAACTGTAAAGTCAGCTTTGAATTTAACAACTCTGTAGCTATTTGGGATGTTCTGGCTCTGGCTAGCTTGAGGATCACAAAACTGGACAGGGCTTTGAGTAATCTGACCTAGTTGAAGATGTCCTTGCTCCCTGCAAGGCAGTGGGACAAGATGACCTTTAAAGGTTCCTTCCAACCCAGACAATCTTATGATTCTAAACATAACAGCACTGTGGACTCTTCAGGAGCAGAACAGACACAGCTGTGTGTTGTGTAGCCACTGCTCACCTCCAACACTCCTGCAACTGGCAGCTCCTGCACCATGGGAGGAAAAAATCTTCCCTGAGCCCTCAGATGAGCATCAGGAGCTGCAAAGCCCTGGCTGGATATCATTATGGCACCAACAGTGACCCAGTCTCCCTTCAAATGGGAGACCCTTCACTGGATACCCCAAGACTCAATGCCTCTGGATGGCTTTTCAAAGTGAGAGTTTTAATCTCATTACCCAAAGCTTCTAAAAGGAACTGTTTGAAGGTGGAACTCATCCAATTCACTCTCCTGCCCATCTCCTTATTTCTTAGGCTATGCTGAGCAACTCCTCAGAAGGGCAGAAACTCAACAGTCAACATCCAGCCATTTCATGTTGTGCTGACCTTTGTCTGAAGATGTTTTCCTTCCTCCTATTTCCTCTGACTCTTCTAAATACAGAATCTCTTAACGCTACTTTTTCTTAGACACAGAACACAATCAAAATTTTTCTTCAAACAGAGAGATGAATACAGCAGTCAGACATCTAGTAGTCCTTCTCTAACCTTTTTCTTTAGAGAACCTGAATTATTTTTATTAAAGCTTTACAGATACAGGCAGTCACTTTGGAAATTTGGCATCATGGATCAAGTTTAATTAACTGATAATGTGGTATAGCACATTACAAGAAAAGTTGAGCCATCTAAAGTAACATCAGCTCTAATATAAAATTATTTTGAGCTGTTCTGATGAGTGCTTTGAAAAGCACACACTGGAAAAAATACATGCATGGCCATGCTAAGCATAGAATACCAAGAAATTCAGAAGTCATTATTAAGTTTGATGTTTGTTCTCAAAATAAAGCACACAAATTATGATTCAAAGCAAAAGTGTTCCTTATGATTTTGAAATTTTAATTAACACAAGATGACAGTAATCACCTTCTCAATCACTGGACTAGAACAGCTTTTTACGTAATTTTGTATTTTTCAGAAAACATTTTTTGGAAATATTTCTGCAATAATCAACTTCTGAATTTCCACCTCTTGCCATTCTTCTGGCTGTTTGTAGTAGATAAAACTCTTTCCAATTTACTATAATATGTTTCATGGTTCAGCTACATAAAGACAGGAGGAGAACTTTTGACATTATTTTTGGAATAGCAGTTAAGCAAAAAAAAAAAAAAAAAGGAAAACCAAAACAAAAACCCCAACCCATCAACCAACCAAAAACTACATGGAGGTGTGAGAGAAAAAAAAGATGGTCAGCAACTTAAAGAACATTTTTACAGGGACAGAATTCAGAATCTTCCAGCAATGGACATTACCTTTACAATTTCCCTCACTGCTGCAGGTTGAGTCTCTCCTAAAAACTTGTATAATTCACGCCGTTCTATTTTATGCAAAACTTCTCGTGCTTCCTTCAGTTCTGGACAACTTGAGTGCAGAATTTCCAGGTAGATATTATCTGTCAAAGTTGCATTGTTTTTTGGTAAGTACGTCAAAATCCAGTGTCACAGCAAAATGCACATACAGGGTCAACAAGAAAAACCACTGGTTCAAGACACTCACTTTCAGAGAATGACTGAACATCCTAAGCCTGACAGCTGGTAAGTCACAATATCATCTTGATCATCATCAGATTTGTTAACAGTTGTTGATGGAAGAACTATCTCAATTCTCACCCTTGCAGCAAGTTTTTTTATTTCACTGGAAGCTGCTTCCTCTTCTTACTCGTGTTCAGCA